CGGAGGACATGGCGAGCGCTGCTATTCTTCGCTAGGTGCGTCCTTGCAACAGCCTAGTGGTGTAACTCACCGTTGACATTTACTAGCTGGTTGTCCTCGACACTTGGATACATTTCCGGCTCAGACGACTCCGAGTTTGCGAAACTCCTCCCGGTATGCCACCAAGATGACTGCCGCCAGTAACCACTCCTTGCTGACCACCATCACCCCACCCAGATAGCCGAGCAAGATCACGACAGCTACAGCGCGGAGCTAGGCGAGCGTACGTGACCACCCGTCTGCCGTGCATCTTGCAAACGCCACAACCTAACCATATGTGTGCCTCGCAGTCGTCCAAGCCGAGATGACCAAGATATCCCTTCTGCAAGCCGGCATCCTGCGCAACCACCTCGCGGTGCAAGAACTGACCAAGCTCGGCATGGACTGGCGCCATCCGCGAGCTGCAGGACTGGCACGGGCAGCTGCCCGAAGCGATGCAGCTGCAAAGTCTGTACCGGACCGACTGGCCGCCGCTGGTGCGCTGGTCCATCTACCACCTGCACCTGCTCTACCACGGCGCCTTCATGCTGGTGTACCGCCGCATCGCCGCCCACTGCGTGCGCCTGCAACGCATGGGCGGCGACCTCGCCACCGCCGGCCAGGAACCCACCCTCCGCAGCCTCGTCGAGCAGGGCATCACCTCGGCCCGCGACACCGCCCGCATCGTCAGCCTCCTCCTCGGCGAGCAGGGCGTCTTTAAACGCTGCTGGATCGTCATGTAAGATCTCATCCCCTTTTTTCCCCCCACCTACCCCAACCTCTAACTTCATCCAGCTTCGCCGCGCACACGGCCTGCGTCGTGATCCTGCACTCGGTCGCCCAAAAACAGCTTCACCACTTCCCGCCGTCCGCCTGGGCCGACGACATGAAGCGGGCGGCGCAATGCATCGACGTGCTCGGCTACTGCGGGGCGGCCGACCCGGTCGCGCTGCGCTTCCGCGTGCGCCTGTCGGGCATCTACGACAGCCTGGTGTCGGCGGCGGAAGCGCGCACGCCCGCGGCCTCGGCCCATGATGTGCGCATGCAGCGCGTCGCGGATTGGGTGCCGCCGCATCCGGATCATCATCATGGGGGGGATGGTCAGGGGGATGGTGGTGGAGGGGAGGGGGAGCCGCATCCCGTGGAGTATTTGTTTAGTGTGGGGGTGCAGGCGCAGGCGAGTCCGGCGTTGGCGAGTTTGACGTTTTCGTTGTTGTTTGCGCTGTGTAGGCCGAGGACGGATCCGGCAAGCTTGGCGAGGGATCAGGGGGCTGGGGATTGTGGTGCCTGTGGTGGTAAGGGTGCGGGGTGGGCAGAGGAGTCCAAGATCATCAAGGATGCCCATCGTCATTTCCACGACCCTGGAAACTCCATATGGGAGCCATCAACAGGTGTTTCAGGCATTTCCATGAAGGTGGGGAACCCTATCTCTCGTCGTGGACTATTTTTGTGCAATGGGAGTCTTTCCAATTATTCCATCTGCCAAACGAGCATTGGTACGACCAACGATTGCGAACCGCACGTTCTGCTTGATCCCGAGCACCCCTATGGGGACGACCGATGA